GGACATATTACAAACTATCCCATAGGCAATCAAGGCAGATGACCTGGATAAGAATAAAGATGCCACAAGAAAAGACTTGCCTCACTCCTGGAAGAGGTGTCCATCATCACAGAGGGTCTCACAGGAGGTGGAGGTATTGGAAGAACTTGTAGAATCATCCAGTCTGGACGAGCATATTCAGGGTTCAAGCCTAACAATTGGCAGTCTTCATCACTTATTCTCTTCAGAACGCTAAGAACCTGAGCACAAGTGAAAATTAGCTTCACAAATGAAGTAACCTAAAATGAGGCGCAGAGAAGGAAATATTAGGTAAGAGACAGCATGAGGAGAACCATATTTATGTTTGTTAGATACCTTTTCAGCAGAAAGTAGTTGTTTCCGTTCAACAGGTTCAGGAAGTTGTTCCTGATATTCATTTTTCTTCTTCTGAACCTTGTATTCTGCAATCATTTTCATACCTTCAATGGTGAGCTTGGGCTGCTGAGCACCGCAACCACCATGCCTCTTTTCCAATGGTTCGTCAGAATCTTCATGCCGGGCGTCGATTTCATCACCACCTTCACATTTGGTTTTACTTTTGCATGCATCCAAAATCTTTTTAAGCCTACTTTTGGGGTTTCTAATTCTCAGAGCTTGCTTGAATTTCGAGTCTTCCTACAAAACATTAGTCAGATAATACATGTGTTAATTTTTAAGTAGTTGTAATTATTATTTTTTGCTTGCATCCAATTTTCTGGAAAATCAAACAAATTATAAGGGGGGAAGCAGGGGACATCAAAAAACAAAAGCAAACCAAAACCATACACATGAAAGTGTCTGATTACAGCTCCCTGAAAATCAATATATCATTACCAAATCTCTTTTGGATATGAATGCATTAGTTCAACTATTTTTCGTTACTTGTCAGATGAGAATAGAGACACATAAAACAGAAAACCTGATTATAGTTATACATTGCAAACTTCTAGAGAGCATGTATTATGAGTGCAACTCGCCTAAATTCAGCAAAACATTCTCTGCAAACACAGGCCTATAGTAAACTGCCAGCAGCCTAGCATCAGAGTAAAGAGGAATACTCTGTTTCAACTTCTTTTAAATCCGCGACTGTGTGAACTCTCAAAGTCACTACCGCCAACCCTCTAATGGTTAACAATAAAATAAACAGCACGTTCTGCAATGCATAATTAGTAACTTGCTTACCTACTAACAAATAATTCTAAGACAAAATGTTATATGATTAAGTACCAAATTAAATATATATATATAAATGATAACACAGTAAAAAAAATATAATGTTCCACCATTCTCACCTGTGACATATTCCGACAAATGAAATTCTCAACCACAAAAATACACAAAGTATGTTACTAAGTTGCCAATCAAAAACCAACTATAGTAATAGATTAGTTACCTGGTAAGTATAGTTTTGTTTTACTTTATTTACTTTGAATTTTCTTCTTAAAACGGGAACTTCTTAATATATCTTTTCTACAAACAACCACAATTATAGTTGAAGTTTAAAAATATATGCAGTGACATGAAACTGCTAGAATATAAAAAAGACAAGAAAAAGCATCTAATTATTGCAATTACTTTTTTCATATAAGAAGTCAATAATAAGCTATTCAGAATCGGATAAAGCTTAATAACTTAATTAGTGTCACCACAAATTTTACCCAATTTATAAGTATTGCCATTAGAGAATTAATTCAATGCTATTTGTGCATCCTACAAGACTAACAACCTCAAGACTAAATAATTGGAGCAAACCAAAATTTTGTATAAGTGAACTATGAAGAAGGCTGTGGTAATACCTCGTCTGCTAGTATTTTGGAACAACTGAAGCAAACACAACGCATGATACTGAGCACAGTCTTCATAAACCCTATATGAAACATGGGCTTGGCAAGCTCGAGGTGGCCGAAATGCCCTGGGCACTCAGCCATGGTCCCCGTACAAGTCTCACACTTCATGTTCCGATCAATGGTGCCGAGCCGAGGGTCACTCAGACCACCCCTCTTCGGCTTCCCTCTCTCCATAATCTCACTGTTCTCAATTTGTACCACCGAATTTTGCCTCTGCAAAAATATTCAAATCAACATATCTCACACAGACACACAGAAACTCCAAAGTCCATATATATATATATATATATATATATAAGAAATTTCAAATCAATTCTTATATATACTAGAAATCTCAAATCAAATATATACACATGTATACTGCATAATCTCAGTGTGCGTTTGTGTGAACTCTCAAATCAACATTGCTCACACACACCGAGAAATTCCAAGTATATATGCATATAAATTTCAAATCAATTCTTATACATACTTGAAACTCCATATATATACATATATACTACATAATCTGAGTGTGTGTTTGTGTGAAATCTCGAATCTGAGTGTGTGTTTGTGTGAACTCTCGAATCAAGATTGCTCATACAAACACTAAGAAACTCCGAATATATATACATATATACTCTATATATATATATATATATAGAGCTCTAGGTTGAAATTTACGATTTCGTCGGGGCTGAGAATGCCGAATTGAACCATTCGGACTTTGGAGACCTCTGCAGTGGAGTACGGAAACCGCATCTCCATGGCGAGAGCTTGAAGCAGGTGAGTCTAGGGTTTCTTTTTTCACAGTGAATCGGAGGTTGAAGATTGTTTCAGAAAATCAGTGATGTTTTTGCTTTGGGTGTATTTTTATTCTTTTTGTTTTCTTAATTTTTCAATTTTCTGTTGATTTCGCGGGATCTAAATCCTTTTCGTTCTCTTCTCTCTCGCTCTGCCTTTGAGAGAATGAAATCTTGAAACAAGAGGCACAATGCCCCTTGGAGGGCTATTTATAGAGGAAGACGCCGTCCTTTCGCGAACCGACTTGTGATAACGTTACTTTGCGCATGGTGCGCACTAAACCTACTCTTCTTTCGACGAAAATACCCCTCAATAATATATATATATATATATATATATAGTCTGGAACTTTCTAGACAACCGATATTTGATTATTTGGACTATAAATTTGAATTTAATAATTGACGGAATATTGATTCTATTTGAAAGATACAACTTGGATTTATATTAAATTTGGGTATATTTAAGGTATTTGATAAATTGATTTAGTACAATTCACATCAAGTCCTTCTTACAGTGGGTTTGAAATTGCTGTTGGAATTAAAAAAAAATATATACTTTTATAAATAGAGTTGTCAAAAAATTACAGTTAGTAAAAAAATATGTTAAGTGTTTAATTACATATTATAATTAATACTTTTCATAATTAAATTATTTTTTAATTTATTTGGTAACAATATTTTTTTAAATACTTCTATTGTTAATATTATAATATTATTATTTAATATGATGTTACCATATTTGATAATAATAACTTTATTAAGGAAGTGGTGTAACTATCATTATAAACAATAAAATGGATAAAATTGTCTAATGAAAAAGAGTTACCAAAAATATTTAACCTCTACCCATCATGCAATTTTATAAATTTCAAATTCTAACTTCCTTCAAATTATAACTTCGTTCAAATTCTCTACAAAACTAAATTTGATAAATTTAGTAATTATTTAAAGCTTATAATAGTTACCAAATATATCTAAACACAAATTTTTCAATTTTAAGCCGTAGAAAAGAATCCCAAACGAGGTCTTACATGAATTTGCAACTAAAATTACTAAATGAATCAAAATAATCATTTGATAAAAACATGACATAAATTACCTAGTAAAATATAACTTTGTAACCACCTCCCATTTAACGAGCTCTAGTTGAACTCATCAATTACTAATGTAATACCATCCCAGTTATATTTAGACTTGCCAACATTTATATCACTTAATTAAACTCAATTAATAAATAAATAAATTATCTGAATTCATCCAAATCCATCTCGAGTAAGATTTGAACGAGACCATCTTAAATTTCTAATTGTGTCCAAATTTAACAAAATTTTAAATTAGAAAAGACACTAAGAAACTCTATAAATATTAATAACATTCATGACCCAATACACACAAATTTAAGTGATAAAGGATGAGATGAATAACAATTTTAAGTGGATGTTAGCTAACCGTAAAAAAATAAATATATATCCTTCAAAAATAGCAAGTTTTTGAATAACTGTAAGAGGTGTGGGTTCACCACTAATTTCATATTATGTGATATTCACACTTTTATGTTTTGTTTGGTAAGAAAAAAAAATATTTGGATGGATGGAAAAGAAAAAAAGATGAATGAGACATCTCTAAGGAAATAAATTTTGATTGGTTGGACAGAAAAGAAGAAAAAAAAACTTATAATTTCCTATATTTATTAAGAGAAAAAGAAAGATAAAGTTTTAATTTTTTTAATATTATATTCAATAATATTTATAATATTGTAATTTATAGAAGATAATAATTTAATTTAAAACTTGTATAATTTAAGATTAATATTTAATTTAAAATTTCTATAATAGTCAACTTGTCTCCCTTCCTTTCTTTCATCAATTTTTAAGTAAATGAAAATTTGCAAAAGAGGAATTTGTTCTCCTTTCTTTCCTTGTATCATCCTTACGGAATAAAGAAAGTTTATTCCTTTCTTTTTGTTTTCTTTCCGGTTTCCATACATCTTCTACAGTATTATTTACATAGAGTATAACCAATTAATTAATTATTACTTTTCTAAAAGAATGATTATGCATTTTTTATTTTTTATTTATCTTGCGAAACTAAAAAAATAAAAAACTCAAATACGAACACATTCCTTCAGAAAACTGGGTGCTGCTAATTAAGGAAATAATACCCAAAGAATTATTATACATTAATATAGTGATTCCAAGTGTTTTATTATTATTATTGAAAATTTTTTACAGCTATTTTTTACTGTACTTGTAAATTTTCTAGAATAACAACATTCAAACGAGTATTTGACAAAAATAAAATAAAATGAAAAGCCTCCACGTTTTTGGCCACCATTCAATTGACACGTCTTGAATATCACGGCAACACGCTTTTGAAACTTGTCACACATCCCATCCAAACCAAACGCTCTCTGTCATCTTCCCTCGCTATTACCAGCTCTCTGTTCTCTCTCTTTCCTTCTACGGTCAACAATGGCGTCGATCTACACCTGTACGGAGTGCGGAACCAACCTGAACCTGCACAGCAACCACCTCTTCCCGCCGGACTTCTACTTCGAGGCCGGTAACAAAGGAACCCTCTCTTTCTCTCTCATCGACACCACCAAGTTCAGGTTCGAGAAAGAGGACAAGATCAGACCCTTCTTCGAGACCCTCAATTACTGGGGAATCCAGAGGAAGAGGACCAAGATCATGTGCAATAGCTGCAACCGTCTCGTCGGCTACGTGTACGACGATGGTCCGCCTCTCACCAACAGTCCCGGCCAGTACCATTTCGGCCCCAGTCAGGTCATTCCTAGGGCTCCAAGGTACAGGTTTAAGACCAAGTCTCTTCGGATTTCGTCTGAAACTTGAACAACATTTTGAATTTCTTCATTGGGTGTTTTGGGTTTTGTGGGTTTTCTTTGGATAATAAGAATCAATGGGGTTTTGGGTTTCATGTTGTATATTGGGTATACATTTACTTGGACAGGGTCTTTCAGTTTACTTTTGTGATCGTCTGATTCCACATGTAAATACGAATTTCTGTTTTAGTTGAATAAATCGATGATCCTCTTTTCCTGTGTTTCTTCTGGTTATTGTTATTGATAGAATTTTGATGCTGGTATATAGGAATTCATAAATATGGCCTCAGTCAGGTCATTCCTAGGGCTCCAAGGTACAGGTTTAAGAACAAGTCTCTTCGGATTTCGTCTGAAACTTGAAAACCATTTTGATTTTCCTCATTGGTTGTTTTGGGTTTCTTTGGACAATAAGAATTAATGGGGTTTTGGGTTTTATGTTACAAATTTGGTATAGATTTTCAAGGAACAGTTCACTTTTGTGATTGTTTGATTCTACATGTAAATACCAATTTATGTTTTAGTTGAATAAAATCGATTATGCTCTTTTACCCTGTTTGTTCTGGTTTCTATTGTTGATAAGATTTGGGTATATAAGAGTTCATAAATATGGCCTGTTCATAAATTTTGATTTTCTTCATTGGGTGTTTGGGGTTTTGTTGGGTTTCTTTGGATAATTGGGATTAATGGGGTTTTGAGTTTCTGGGTTTCATGTTGTATACTTGGTATAAATTTACATAGATCTGGACTTTCAGCTTAACTTTGTGATCATTTAATTCGACTTGTAAATACAAATTTATGTTTTAGTTGAATAAAATTGATAATGTTATTGTACCCTGTTTGGTACCTGACTTCCTGTTGTTGATAAATTTTGATGTGGGTATATAGGAATTCATAAACATGGCATGTTTCCTATGCTATTCCATTTTCTAATTTATTTCTAATTGGAGAACATTGAATATAAATTAATGGTTATCATATACGATAGAAGATGGTTCTGCTTCATTTCTAGAATTTTTAGGGACTTATGGCATGTGATGTGCTTGCAACTGAAATGGTATATAGACCTAATCATGAAATGTGGAGCGATTAGAAGCACAGGAATTTGGCTAAGTTCTACACATTCTTCTGAAAAAATAAAAATTTTAAGTTTTGCGTCAACTGTATTACTAACTTGTCATTGCTGGGGAAATTAATCTAAATTATGGATAAGTTTAAAAAAGCAGGGAAGAAAAATGAAGGCTTTTGAAAACATTTTTGTGTTCCTTGCCATATAGCTTGTTTAGAAAATGGACAACATGCACAATCGATTAGAAATATGAACAAACAGAGTGATGTTGAATTGGAAATTTTAAAAAGAGGTATATAATTTGGAGACTTGAAGCTGTTTACATGGAACAAAAGCAAAGTGATTGTAAATTGGAAAATTGATCCACTTTACATTGTTTTCAGAGAGCTGTTACATATTTTGGAGCTGTTTCTATGGAACACAAGCAGAGTTTTGTTGAATTGGAAAGTGGATCAATTGTTCCATCACTGTCAGTAGTCTAGTGGCAATGACTACATAATATCATCCCAACTTGGATATGTAGGGAACACTAAAAGCTTCATTTCTTGAGGGGGAAAAAAAATCATCTGTGGCGTTTAACTCTTGGCAATGAAACGAAACATAATTGTGCAGTGAAGGTTTTGTTGGTTGCTGAGGGAGGATGTCATAATTTTAGTTCGGAAGGTCCTTTAGCAGCATTTCATTGATTCGGAATGGATAGTAATCTTTGGAATTCAAAATGTTTCAAGGCTCTTTTAACACTTGGTTTTTGGATTTCTGTGTTGGGGGGGTTGGTATTGGTTTGAAATAGATGCTATCTTATATCATTTCTTGAAAACTACCTTTCTTTTGTCATATATTTCACTGAAATTGTGTTCTTCACAAATTTAAAATGATTAGTGGGTAATGTGAGGCCTCCTTATGAACCATTTTGCTAGTTGCAGAGAACTGGTGATTGAACTAGTTAAGAGGCTCTCATAGAAATGGAATTCTGCTGTAAAGTTCATACGCAAAGCCACTCATGACTATATGTTAAAGTTAAGGTCCATAATTGCGTACTGTCGAAAGTACACCTGGGTGTATGCAAGGACATCTCAAAACACCTAATCGGAGAAAATAGGAGATTGATTTTTCCTTTTTTTTTTTTTGTTTTTTTTCTTCAAGTAACTGGAGATTGAATTCCTCAAGTGATTTGGTGAAAGCCAAAACATCCGGATTCTTTCACATTCATCTTCCTTGTGTAAGTGGAACTTTGAGTAATGGATATTTGTGATGCCTTGTGCGAAAATCCATAACTTTTTTTTTTCTTTATTGTTGTTGGAAGGTCATATATTTCATGCTGCACAACAGAGGCTCTCTCCCCACCAGGGACATTTTGCGTTTCCCCATGCCACATGCACAGATGTGGGGGTGGGATGGTTATATGATCTGCACATATGTTTATCTTCAGTAGCTAGGTTAAATATTATTATGGTGTAGATTTGAAACTCAAAAGGCTCTCATCAGTTAATCAATTGATTACTTTGAAAGCACATTGCATACCTTAGCTGTTTCGGTTTATTTGTATTGTTCATGAAAATGCATTTCCTTCTGATTTTTTAATGCAATCACTCTATTTACGGACGTTATAAATCTGTGGTTTTATGCCAAAATATACCTTGGCTTTTAATCCGTCTGTTTCTAAATTAAAAATTGGACGACTAGTCATGAAGTATGTGTTTTCTGCAATTTTTTGGTGATGTCCTCTTTAATGTACTAGTCTTTTGTTGTTTGAATAGTTTAATCCTAGGAATTAAATATGGAGGATGCATTTGAAGATGATTGGTTTCAGAACTATCTTATACCAAGCACCACTGTTTTACATGGGAAAAAAAACACACATTAGACTGTTATGGTCATTGAAAAGCAAGGGATGATAATTTTATTTCTTTTCATCATATTGAATATTGACTGGAGGAAGTCATCCACCATTTCATACATATTCTCATTGGGTGCCTTTCTAGGAAATTATTATTTTTTGTTGTCAATTTTAGTCTTTTCATTATATTGAATATTGACTGGAGTTCTGCTGGAAGTTATCCACAGTTTCATACATATTCTCATTGGGTGACCTTTTAGGCTTTTTTTTTTTTTTTTTTGGGTGCTGTCATGGAATCTTCCTCTCCTGTTTATAATATTACATTTCAGACTTGCATCTACCGGTCCTTTGTCTTTTGTTCTTCACATGCGCGGACTCTAGCAGATTAATATGTACCTACTTGACCTTACAAAAAAATTTCAGACTTGCACCTACCAGTCCTTTGTCTTTTGTTCTTCACATGCGTGGACTTCAGCAGATTCATATGTGCCTACTTGACTTTACAAAATTTCATGGAATAAAGAATTGACTCCAAAGGGTTGTTCTAATAGGTCAACCCAGCAGTCATCTTTGAAAGTTAGGTGGGCTTAGTAGCTCCATGGAACTGGTGATGAAACTGGACCTCTGTGACTTCGATATTTATATCTCTTATCCTCATCTGTAATCTCAGACTGCTACAACTAATAAAACCAACAGAGTGATTTAGATTGAAGGTTCCCAAGGAAAGTCAAATGGGGGTGGAAACCGAAGGTGGTCATGCAAAATTAAATCAGTCCACACTGCCACCGCCTCCACCACCACCACCACAGTTCTGGCTTTCAACAAAACCAGCAGTTAAGACAATCGTTACAGTAAGCGTGACAAATCAGGAGATTGCCAAGTTCTGGAGGCAGAAGCGAATGGAGGAAGAAGATCATCTCCTTGCTGCTATTAAGGCTGCTGCTCGTATCAGGGCGCGCAAACTCACGGTAAGTTCCACTGAAAACCCAGGTTTTGTGATTCAATGCTCATTAGATGGCCAAACTTCAATGTACTGTGGTCTGTTGTTGAGCCTTCTATAAACTGCCAAAATCATTTGTGCTGACCTTGATCTGAGTCAGGCCAATTAAAACATGCTAAATATTCCCTCTCCTTTTCAAGTAATGTCTTTAGGTAACTATGCAAGATAAAAAGTAATTTGTGTATATGTATATCATTATCATCATCCTTGCCTTTGTCCCATATGAATGGGTTAGACCACATGAATTGTCTTTTTTCGTTCTTTTTTTTAATATATTCCATGTCTCCTCTTATATTTAATCTTTCAGAATTACTTTTAATTACTTCATTCCATGGAAGTTCTTGTTGGCCTCTTCGCCAACTACCTTCTAAGCAAACAACCCTTTCTCTAATTTTATCATTAATAGGTGCAATTCCTAGTTTTTCCCTCATGTTCATTACTAATCTTATCTCTTCATTTGCGTGTGTATTTGTTTTTGCCTATATGCACGAAACTGTGGCAAATTTAGTTTTGTATGGGTCTGGTGTGCACTACCTGCACAATAGTTGCAGGATTTATGAAGTATCTAATGAACCTTGGCAATTCAAAACAGATAAAGCTACCCCATTCCAACCAGTTGGTCCTCTAGCTTCACAACAAGAATTATCATAGAAGAGATATTTAGGTTCTATTTTTGGTTTGTGGATTTTGCGAAAGAATGTATTTTTTTTTCTATTGGTTAAATATATTGATGTTCACATAATGAAGGGGAATCCTGAAAATGAAGAAGGAAATGACGTATAAAGTAAAATCTATCTATTTCTTTCACCAATATTTCCTTCATGTTCCCATGATAACCAAATAAGGGTGAATCCTGTAATTATTTTTAAATCTCTTACAAACGGTGATTTGCTTCCTCAACATCAAGGAATGCAGGCACATTCTTTTACTGATATCATTTTGCATTGGTAGATATAGAAGCCAAATTTGGTCTTTGGGAGGAGAGAATCTAAAGAGAGTTTATGACAATAATGTAGACCAAACCTTTACTTATAGTATGTCTTTAAATATGACGGTCTTGTGATCCTATGATATCCTGCTGCTACTCAATGTGGGGAGCAGGTCCCCACATGCCAGTGCAGGCCATCTTATGTATTTGATGGATGAGACCTAAATAATCTCATACTAAGCTAACACTCTATACTTCTTGAATTCATGTACATTTGACTAACTTGTTGCTGTATGGTGTATAGGAGGATGACTATAAGCGCTTTGAGGAATCCTTGGAAGATGATGACGACGCCTATAATTCCAGTAAAAATGATGAGAACTACAAAGAGTTGCGTGTGGGGATAAAGGACTGGTAAGCTAAATTTTTAATTAACAATCCTTGGGATGAATTTTTAGTTTTAGAAGACATGAAGGTGAATCATCTAAGTCTGCAAAATGTTTTTTGTCTCTCTCTTTACGTATATACACACACATATATATGTTCCAGATGATCTTTCAGGAAATAATAACACGTAATTAAGACAAGCTTCGGTGCAGTAGTGATTTACCACATCTTTCAGTTGGTACATTGGAGTGAAAGGACAAGAAATGGATAGGAAAACTCTCTCTCTTTTTTTTTGTAACCATATTGAGTTATACAATCACAATTTGTTGTATGTAGTTGTGTGATACAAAGATGTATCCGCTGCTTGTTAACCCAACTACGCTGTGGAGTGGGCTAATATGACACACTGACAAACAGTACCATAGGCATGGCATGAATTTGCAGAGTTTTGATTTCTTCCAAGATGATGAAGTTGTACTTTTGATGATAATGTTGATGGCAACTTACTAACAGAGGTTCTTCAACTAACATGTGCAGGTGGACAAAGAGCAGGTATGCATATTTAAACCAGCCAGCGATCGAGTCCATGGATACACCCAAACGCCGAGCCTCCACTTACATTCCCAATTTTTGTGGTTATAAGCCTGCTGCCCCACCGACTACCTCATCTGGCATTTTTTAATTGATTCGAGCAGCTTCAACTGATCGAAATACTTGACACTGTTAAAACTTTATTTGGTGTAAACTTTTTCTGTTGAGAGGTGTGTTTCAAATGTATGTATGATTTATCTTGTCATCATACTTTGAAATGGTCTCTCAGAATAGGATTGGGATACTATAATAGTTGCAGCCCCTTTGTTGATGTTTTTCGCTAATGATTCGAACCAAAATAAATTTTGGGGGCACAACAAGAATTTGTATTTTCAAATGATATCGGAGGGATTTGCAGTCATTGGGGAAATTCCATTTTCTGCACGATTAATGTCTTCCTAGATTTTTGATTATTTCCAACATGAATCCCAATTTGTTTCCGACTGTTCTCAATCAAGAGATGTAGCTGCCCCTATTCTGAGACCATTGCATGGACAGAAAATTTTCACTTGGTTATCTGCAATACCACTTGCTAATGGATGGAAATTTTTTCAATACCCCGGAGTTACCTACTATGTACCAATTCCAAGAGCTCGGATAGATATAGCAATATTATGCCTCGAAGAGGACTTGAAGTCTTGAACCTCCGAATTCTTTTGCAAGAGGGGAGATTTTGAGTCTTGCATGTTTACCATTTTGTACCCGACGAATAAAATCTCTCTATTTTCCTGGAAAACAAGTTTTTTATACTGTTAATATGGTCTATGGTAGATTATACAGTTTACACTTACTAACCTGGTTTATCATAACCAAAAAGGTCTTGTAGCCTAGTGTTCTCGGCCAAAAAAATATATATATATATAGTATATCATAATTACACGGATATATTATTCTCGATAACCGTGTAAATATAGCAAACCTTAGAAGAGATTAATGTAATTAACCTTACTGAATGACATGCTTGTTCTTTCTATAGCAATTTTTACTTGACCCTCCTTTATTGTGTGTGGACAAAGACTTTAATTGAGTTTGTTCGACAAATGAGACCATTCCACATTGTGAAAGGGCATTGAATTATGCCTCCGGGCCTAACTTTTACTTCTATCTTCATATTATATTAATATCTTGAATTCATTAGTACTAATGAGTCAATACCCGGGCGTCACCTATTTTTTACTCCGGTCAATAAATTTTTTTTTTTTTTTTTAATTTTCGATAATGAGAAATTCTTTTTTTTTTTTTTTATTTATAGTTGGGACTCACACGCACTGTTTCCATGCCTGTTGGTATTTGTAATAGTCCCGAAAAAATATACATATAAACACTGGACTGTCTAGTGTAGGGAGGATGGAGATCTAAAAGGAGTGGGATTTTACTTTGTGTATAAGGTCTACCTTTTTTCAAAAATAATCTCCACTCTTTCTTTCTACATCTTGGATTCTCCGGTGCCTATGATAAGATTTAAGTTAACCAGAAAAATTTGGATGTGCCCGATACACGATGCACCGACCGATACATGCCATACTCGCAAAACACATACGGCTCACCCAATGTCATATATCTTAAGCTGTAACAACAATACTGTGTGGTATAACAAAAGACGACTCAAATCGTTCATATGTGTAAGGTGGGAGATGGCTCAGACTATTCACACATGTGAGCAAATCCCTCTGCTGCACAGCATCATGCTGTTACAGTAGAGTTGTCAGCTCCAAATTTAGTAGTCTAGTGGCAATGACTACATAATATCATCCCAACTTGGATATTTAGGGAACACTAAAAGCTTCATTTCTTAAGGGGGGGAAAAAAAAATTCATCTGTGGTGTTTAACTATTGGCAATGAAACGAAACATTATTGTGCAGTGAAGGTTTTGTTGGTTGCTGAGGGAGGATGTTATAATTTTAGTTTGTAAGGTCCTTTAACAGCATTTCATTGATTCGGAATGGATAGTAATCTTTGGAATTCAAAATGTTTCAAGGCTCTTTTAACACTTGGTTTTTGGATTTCTGTGTTGGGGGGTTGGTATTGGTTTGAAATAAATGCTATCTTATATCATATCTGGAAAGCTACCCTTTTTTTGTCATATATTTCACTGAAATTGTGTTCTTCACAAATTTAAAAGGGATTTAAAAGGGTTAATGGGTAATATGAGGCCTCCTTATGAACCATTTTGCTAGTAGCAGATAACTGAAGATTGAACTAGTTAAGAGGCTCTCATAGAAATGGAATTCTGCTGTAAAGTTCATACATAAAGCCACCCATGACTATACGTTAAAGTTAAGGTCATAATTGCATACTGTCGTAAGTACACCTGGGTGTATGCAAGGACATCTCAAAACACCTAATTGGAGAAGATAGGAGATTAATTTTTTTTTTTTTTTTTTTTTTTTTTTTTTTTTTTTTTCCCTGGAGATTGATTTCTTCAAGTGATTTGGTGAAAGCCAAAACATCCGGATTCTTTCACATTCATCTTCCTTGTGCAAGTGGGATTTCGAGTTATGGATATTTGTGACGCCTTGTGCGAAAATCCATAACCTTTTTTTTTTTCTTTATTGTTGTTGGAAGGTCATATATTTAATGCTGCACAACAGAGATTCTCTCCCCACCAGGGATATTTTGCGTTTCCCCATGCCACATGCACGGATGTGGGGGTGGGATGGTTATATAATCTGCATATATGTTTATCTTCAGTAGCTAGGTTAAATATTATTATGGTGTAGATTTGAAACTCAAAAGGCTTTCATCAGTTAATCAATTAATTACTTTGAAAGCACATTGCATACCTTAACTGTTTTGGTTTATTTGTATTGTTCCTGAAAAATGCATTTCCTTCTGATTTTTTAATGCAATCACTCTATACACGGAAGTTACAAATATGTGGTTTTACGCCAAAACTAGGGATGGCAACGGGGGCGGGTTCGGGCGGGTGTACCCTCCCTCGCCCCTCGCAACCGTTTAAAAACTCCGCCCCCGTTCCCACCCAAAACTGCAAAAACGGGAAACATTTCACTCCATCCTTTAACCGTTTAACATTTTTACTCCCGTAGGTACCCGTCCCGTCCCGTTTAAGACCACAATTGTCACGCCATGAATTTTCTAAATAAATTTCTCGATTTATTCAAATATTTTATTAACTGTTATTTTGCTAAAATTGCATATATGTATTTTGTTTAAAGGCATGTGTATATTTTTGTGAAGCTGAATTTGCATGAAACTCTTTGAAATCTTTGCTATGGTTTTTCCTACTGGGACTTCCCCTATCTCACCTCCTTCCAGTTTCATGTACCTAAGATTGCTAGTTGCGGGATTAGGTGGAAGAGTTGGTATTGAGGAATTAATTTTATTTTATTTAGAGTTGTTCTATATTATTTATTTGAGGAAATTGATTTGTATCAATAAAAGAGTATTTTCTTTTGAGATCCTGGGTGTAATTCTGATGTATTTGGATTTGAATAAATTGATAAATTTATTTAGAAAATTCGGGGCGTGACAACAATTTATTTATTGTTGAAATAAATTTGCTCGTTTTTTTTTTTTTTTTTTTTTTTTTTTTTTTTTTTTTTTTTTTCTTCTCTCTCATCTTCAATTCTTCACCATTGCAACTTTCCTTTTAATGAAATTTATTTGTTACTTTAATATTGTTATATAGGGTACTTAATATATAGTGGGAAATATATATATATTAATGAAATAAGAGTACTCAAGTAATTTGCTATCTAAACGGGGCGGGGCGGGGCGGGGCGACCTCCCCTAGCTCCTGAACCAAATCCGCGTGGGTTTTTATTACATCAAACCATCCTCGCCCAAATTAGCAAAACGGTTCCCCAAAATCGCCAAAAACGGGGCGGAGCGGGGCGGGTAACCGTGGGGGCGGATCAAATTGCCATCCCTAGCTAAAACATACCTTGGCTTTCAATCTGGTTATTTCTAAATTAAAATATGGACGACTAGTCATGAAGTATGTGTTTTCTGCAATTTTTTGGTGATGTCCTCTTTAATGTATTAGTCTTTTGTTGTTTGAATAGTTTAATCCTAGGAATTAAATACGGAGGATGCATTTGAAGATGACTGGTTTCAGAACTATCTTATACCTAGCACCACTGTTTTGCATGGGGAAAAAAACACACATTAGGAGGTTCAAAAAGTGAATTGATCAAAAAAGACCTGAAGCCTCCCCTGAGACCTTCCCGGAATAACCCAGCTCCCAACCACCTTAAACCACTTTTCACACCTACTAATCTTCCCTTGCAGATTGAAATGTATGAACCCCCACTACCACCTTCCCATCATGGCCAACATACAGATCATTATCCTCCACCATCAACCAAACCCCTTAGGCAATTACTGAATAACTCTTCCACCATTGCATCTACCTCCAAACAATCAACCCTCTGCAAACATCCTAAACCAAAGCACTTAAAGCCCCCCTCCTCACAACCTGCCACATTCCCAAACTCCATATAGTTACAACACAACAATCACTATGAGAAGAACAAGACCATCATCCCAAGGTCATCTAAGCCTCCACTTCATAACTCTAAGATTACTAAACATGACCATACTCCAAAACATACTTACCCTCCAAAAAATTTTAATCCATTACTCTATGATTCTCCTGGTCATTAAATTGAAAGGCTCCAAGAACAACTCCAATGGTCTGAAGAGAATTTGGGCAAATTAATGGATATGCACTATGAGAAGAACAATACCATTTCTGAACTAAAAGAAGAAGTTTCAAAGCTCAAGGCAATGAACACCACCACTACTGAGGTTACCACAGCACAATTGGTTCATCCAATCACAACAGCTACCACCACCATGGCTCCCCCAGAAGCAGCAGCAACAGCCACAGCTGAGGCTCGACCACATCCACCACCTCAGACCTCCACAACCACCACTGCTGCACCAACAAATGCTCTCCCACCATTGCAGGCACCAGGTTTGAATTCAAATTTGAATTTCAAATCTCTAAATCTGGTCAACACTACTTTGCAGGCTCCAACAATCCATACTGCCCAAAAAGGAAATAACTCAGCAAGCTTTCAAAACACTACCATTCCAACTCCTAACTCTCAGTCCAAATTAGCAGTCTAACCACCAACACATTTAAAACCAACTAACCATGCCTTATCCCCAGACAAAATAGCAACCTCACCTATCCTAACACACTTTACTACTCTACTTTCCCTATATACCAACAAATTACTCCACCCTAACAAGCATCCACCAGCAAAAACTTGGTCCAATGTTGTTGAACATAGAACAAACAAAATGAAATTTGTCTACATAACTCCTACATCTGCTAATCCCAACATTATTGAACCACCTAAAGAAGTTGTTGATGAAGGTTTAAATTTCTGGTCTTTTTTTCACTTGGTCGGATTTTCCATCCACAAGAAATTACCTTTCAAGGTAATACAAAATGCTGCAACTAAACTA